AGCTATTAACCTTGTTTGGAGAAAAGAATATAGAGAGAACATAATTGAGGATGAGGATATTCCTAGATTGTATTAGGTATAAATTAAGAATTATTCGGCATGACAACAGCTAACTTGGCTAGTCGCATAAATTATTGTCATAATTAGTTAAGAAATGGTATGGTATGACAATTTGGGAAGAGGGATAGAGAAGTTAATAACTAAAATAGGGACTTGATGGTCAATTTAAATTCTCTCTACATAATTGATGCAGTCCGATGTATTATTTGTTTTTATGAGAATTCTCATTAGTAGGAATTGAGAATAAAGTTATATATCTTTTGTTGGATTTAATTGGAAATGATTCAAATAGCACTTAGAATTTGATAATAATCGAAAACTTTCTTGAGTTGGCAGCAATCATCTTATTTAGTTATGAACAACTTCAATGATTATGAGGGCAAATATATGGAATTGGAATTGATGCAAAATGGATTGAGTCGGCATGTAGGTTTTGAATTTTAAAATAAGGAGTCCAAATTGGAATAGTAATAAATTTGATTGAATATGTGGATTCTTATATCAGTAAGATTACATACTGAGTTGGTGTATGAGTTTCTTATGGAGTGATGATCATTGCCTATGATAGCTAGTGAGAGAATAAATGACGATACATCAATGTAAGGACACATGATATAGAGGTAATGAGATCAATAACCCTTACTTGAGCAGATGTTATAAGTGAATGAAATTCTTACGTGTAAAGGTGAATATTAGTGTCGAATCTGTGCTTTAAGTTATGAATATTTGACTTGAGGGGACAACTTGTAGACATAGTATAATTTACGTTTAAATTAACTATGGTGATAAGGTAGATAACTTTAGGGATGGATTTATCTTATAATCATCTTACCCTCTCTATAAATTAGATTTTCTTCCCTGGTCTGTTCATTGGTTTGTCTTAATTAATAAATTTAAGAAAAAAATTAGATTCACCACTCTGACTAACGAACTTGCAACTTTATGTGAGAAGCATAACCACCAATTGTCGGTAAAACAATAATTGTATCCTAGTTTCTTGTTTATTTTTCAAAAATTCTGAGGACGAAATTTTTTTTAAGGGGGGAAGACTGGAAACAACTCAAATTTTTATTTTCAAAGATTTCAATTAAATTTAATAAGACCGACAGCTTGGAAATTTATTTTAATATTTTAATTGCGAACACTGATTTTAATGCGAACACTGTGAGAAACCGAACCGAAAACCGACTGAAAAAGCCGAAAACCAAAGATTTGGGTCGAATCGAACCGGTTCGACCCAAACCATCTAGAAAATTCCATTTTTTTTTATCTCCAGCGCTGCACCTCCACTCGTCACCCTCACCAGCGCCTCAACTCCACTCCACCGACACAGCCACTGCGCCTCCTCCTCCCTTCTTCTTCTTCTTTCTTTCTTTCTTTCTTTCTTTTCTTTTCTTTCTTCTTCCCTGCGTCTGTCTGCGTGTGACTGGCGAGAGACAGCAGATCTGTCTCCATCGCGCGCAGCACCGCCTCGCCGCTCCTTCGCGAGCCACAGCCAGCAGCTCCGCCTGCAGCAGCGCCACCTGCAGCAGCGCTTCATCCTCAGCCAAATCGCAGCGCCACAGCTCCTCGAGTTCATCGCGCCACCATCCTTGCTGTCCAGTAGATCGCGCCACTTGCTCGCAGTCTCGATGCGCGTAGCTCCGATCTAGCACGCGTAAGCCTTTCCGATCTAGCAAAATTCAACAAAAATTATACTTGGGGTATAGAGCAATTCTTACTAATTCTCAGAATTTATTTTAGTAATTTGGGTATAATTTAACTTAGTAATTTTAGTTAATTAAATTAATTTTAGTAATCTTGATTAGGTAATTTAATTTAGCAAATTTGATTAGTTGAATTAATTTAATTTAGTGTTGATGAGTCGATTAATAAAAATATATTTGATTAATTAAAATTAAATTCTGGTTTTGGAATGAAATTGGTGTATGTAAATGATAATGAAATTGTTTTTGATTATTTTTGCTGGTATATACTGTGCTCTGTTTGTAGTGGGATGGGATGAAGTGGGTCACCATGGGTTTGTGGGACGGTCGATAAAATAAGGAATCCTGATGAACTGATAGAAAGTTGGACCGTCGGCCCGGGTAAATGGGGATCGGCGCCCCCGTTGCAACCTGATGAACTGATGAAAATGATGTTTATGATATGAGGGAAAAGAAAAGAGAGAAGCTGTAAAAACTAAAATATTGTTTAGTAGGACTGGTCAAGTGATGGATTATGACCCGGTCGCAAGAATTATTGAGAGGATTGGGCTCACCGGGAAGAGCTTGTCTGTTGAGAGGAATTGGGGTGAGAGGACGGCTTCGTCGGGGGATTAGGCTGACGCCGACTGACTAATTTCCACGTGATGTGATTATTTGAAGGTGCTATTGTTGTGGGGTGCCTGATATGATGAAATATGCAGTGACTGTTGTGTGTTCATTTCCAGTATACCTAGGGTGCATTTGGCTTGCCTGTATGAGGTGTGTATTAATTTCATATTATTCCACTGAGTTGCAAAACACACCCCTTGTCTCCAAACCCTCTCAGGTACTAGGAAGCATGCTGATTCGATTGAAGCTCTGCATCTTTCTCCGCAGAGTTATAAATGGTAAACTTTATATTTTGTTTATTTCTTTGGTTTGTATATAGTTTACTCTAAGAGATGCAGGCATTATTATTGAACATCCGCAGTTATAGGGTTGTTGTATTTAAATTCGGGCCTTATGTGTTAGCATATGACGGTATAACCAATTAATTATTGTGGTTATTAACTGTAGGTAAACTGCGTAAGCCTTAGTGTGATTATGAGTTATTGTGAATGGCCCTGGTTATTTATGTAAATTATTTTGGAATATTTGGGCCAGATGTTTGAAAATTTTTTATAAAACTTAATCTCAAGTCATATGGCTTACTGTTTTGTTGAACATTGGAGAATCATGTAGACAGATTGAATAATTTAGGCCTTACTACGCGGCCTCGGGGGCCTTAAGCTTAATAATTTAGGCTTACTACGGGCCTCGGGGGCCTTAAGCTTACCTAGGCCCTAGTGCCGGTCCGGCCCACGGAAACGGGTCGTGACATATATATTTCCTCATAATTTGTAAATAGTGCCTTTTTCTTGTAAAAGTTGGTGATTTACAAAATAATAGATTTCATTTTAAAAATTTTGTAGTATTTCCTAATATTTTATAAGAAGTGACTTTTTATCAAATGTTCTTAAAATCCAACCGAATATTGAACCGACGTCATGACTGGATCGCGGTTGAATTGGATCAACAGAGTTCAACCGGGTTTTATGATTAACATAATTTATAATTTAAAAAAATCATTTTTATAAAAAATGTGTAAATACATTTCAAACTATATATATAATATTATTAGTTGAAATTGTATTTTTACAATTATAATTATATTTTACAATTCTGAAACATTAGTTTATTTAGTTAGAATTGTTTTTTTTTTTTTTCATTCAAAGAAAATTATTTTTTATATTATTATCAACATTAATGATGAGAAATTAAATCATTAATAATATTAATAATATTTCATAGCATTTTAATAATTAAAAATAATAATAATGTCATTAATATTTTAAAAATATTTCAACTTCTTTTTTAATAAATAATAAAATGATTCAGCTTTTTTAATTTAATTTAGATATTAATGAGCTGATATTAATGACTTTTTTAGTTTTTAATAATTAATAAAATTAATGTTATCATCAATATTTTTTGAAGTAACAAAATTTTTAAGTTTTTTTTTAATATTTAATTAAATTAATAGTATCAATAGTATTATTTTAAATTAGTAAATAAAAATAATATTATTAATAGTTTTAATCTTTTTTGTCAATAAATATTATTATTTTTATTGCTTAAATAATAAAAAATTAAATGAAAAAGTGAAAGTTTTAATTGTTTCCAACTTCCAACGTAAATATTATAGAAAGTTGGTCCAACGTAATAAATAGCACAGAGAACATAGAGTTAAACAGTGTAGAGGGCTATCAAAAGTCAAATTGATGCTATTAGGAAAAAAAACCCAGTTCATACTGGGTCACTGGGTTTCTGAAATTATCCAGGTTTGTCCAGTTCAACCTGGTTTTTATGTACCTGAGTTTTAGTGTTAAACCAGATCGGACCAGTCACCAGGATTTGCAATTGAATCGGTCCGACCAGCCAGTCTGATCCGATTTTAAAAACACTACTTTTTATTGTAAAAGTTGATGGTTTACAAAATAATAAGTTTGCATTCTAAGGAAGGATATATCCCATTAGGAGACCAATCAGGCCAGAAGACCCCAAGACCATCAGCATTAAGATGTTGTCTCGCAACAATAGAAGGAGCATATACCATGTGAAGGCCCATGTTGCCATTAACAACTTCCCTAGCTAAACAATCTACTACCTTATTAGCCTCTCGATACAACACTTTGACAATCCGCACCTTCTAATCCTGCTTCATAAGTTGCTAGCAGTTTTGCACCAAATTACTCGCTTCAAAACTGCAGTACACCTTTGTTGTAAGCATATCTACAGCAACCTGAGAATCAACTTGAAGAACAAGCTTCCTCCACTGGTTTTACCAAGCAACACGTAATGCTTTATAAATACCCCCATGATTCCGCCTCCAAGGAGCCACATAAACCTCCTCATAGTTAAAACAGAGTGTCTCCAGGTATTAAAATTAGGAACCAATTATTTTTTCCCTATATACTTATCAAAATGTTTTTGCTATTTTTAAAATAAATTATTTCTTTTAAAAATTTTCAATATCCATAATTTTTTTTTTATTTTTTTATGAATTTCATTCAAATCAAAATCTACAAATGTTTAATTAATCCAGACAAAATTTTGTTGGAATCCAAACTAAATTCAACAGTTGATTTATGAGAAATAGAAAAGAATTTGATTTTCTGTCATTTTCCCCTTCCTGAAATATTTGGAAGCCAAACAAGAAAGAAAAGCATTCATATCCATTCTTCATCTATCATTAAACTCAAATTCTAGCCAAACAGAGAGGAAAGAATCCATATCCATTCATCTATTATCTATCATTAAACTCAACTTCTAAACCCTAACCAAAGATTTTTTTTTTTTTTTGGTATAAACCACCGGTATCCGACCATATTACTAAGAACTGTCTAATCCGGTTCGGAGTTTAGTCACAGTTAAAATTTTTTGCCCCTCCCTATAGGTGAGTTTAGTGGAGATGAGAGATCTTCTCATATTCCCAGCCTGTGTTGCCAACTGAGCCCCCACTCGTAGGTAGAGATGATAATATTTAAAAACACAAAATGACAATATTACAATAAGAAATTTAAGATAAAGAAAAAAATAATAACAAACAATTAATCATCTTACTACCAAACGGTGAGCCAACTGCAAAATTCCCTGATGAAGTACCATGCCACGGACTTCAGCTGTTTCAGGTATTAAGTTGTTAACACCAATACCTCGTTCAATAATTTGGTCTATTGGGGAAAAAAGGGAACATAATTCTTGGAGAGCAGAGTCGATTAGTGTAAAGAGTGGTCGGGGAAAACAATTGTACTTAATCAGCTAAAGCATATACAACAACTGATGCCTGAAGATCACGGTCCACCTTGAAATGAGCATGGAAAAACCTTCTTATCTGCCATTTTATTATATATTAGACTAAAAAAAGAAGAGAAAGGTGATGGAAAGAAAACTCATATCTATACTATATATAAACATAGGAATAGGGGGAGAGAATAATGGAATTACCTATACTAACCTTAATGAAATTTTAGAAATCCTAAAATAACCTTAGTAATGACTAATTAGAAAATTATATTTTATTAATGATTGGATATAGTTTATTAAAATTATTTTTTCAATAATTAGATATAGATAATTAAGCATTTCAAAATTTAATGAGCATTATATATACTTTAAACATTATACATTAATTATATTAATTTAAAACTTCTACCAACCATAGCTGTAACGAACAACTATATCCAAAGATTCATAACAAGATACATTTGAAGATGACCAATGAACTTTCATCGAACTCTTTCAAATCCTGCACATCAATATGCATCTCCAAACCCATAAGAGAAGAAAGGAAGGATGCTTACGTACTACAGGATTATTAGCTCCAATCGTTTTTTGAATCAAGATACTCGAGGAAGGGTGTAGTTATGCATGATAATATTTTCTTGTGTAGGACTTGTATTTTCCTTTTTAATAGGGATCACATAGGCTTTTTTTTTTAAAAAAAATTGCTTTGCATCTTATGAAAATTAGTCTATCATATTTAATATTTAATTAGAAAGTTTAATCCAATTTATAATATTATACATTAATTACAAAGTTTTGTCCCATTCTAATTAGAAATCAGAATCCTATTATAGTAAAATTTTGTACTATTATTCCACTATATATATGTTTATTATATCAAACTTTTCCGTTCCTAAGGACTTGTTGAGTTTGCAACTATATCTTCTCATGCAGTAAGTATAATCCTCTTCAATTGCTCCGTGTTTTATATTCTCAATTATGAATGTTTAATAAACTTTCACCTTAAAGAATGAGGTACAAAAACAGGAATGAACTATAGTTACGGTGCATTGTTTATTGTTTCTGGAATGACAAATAAAGGCACATGATATTGGGTTGGTTTTTGAAAATTCTTTACAGTTGGTGAGTGTTTTTTGGTTGATTTCATGGCGACCATATTTATTAGATAATTTAAATTTTATGACTTTGACGACATCTTAGTTAGGGTTTTGACCTGCTTTTACTTGATGCATGCTTTTGTGTTACGATATTTATTGTTTCATATAAAATAGAAAATAAAATTCATCAGAAATATATATAAAATATAAAATTGTGATATAACACAAATACTAGCAAACTATATAATATATTAAAAGAAACTTTTTTTTCTAAAAAAAAAAAAAAAGTAACCATAAAATTAATTATATGCTCATAGACTTTAGCAAAAGTAAAAAGAAAAAAAATAAATCAAAATTATAAATGATAATGGTTATCTATTTATAGTTTATATTATTCTATAATATAATGGTTACCAAAATTACAAAGGATTATAATTTTATTGATTGAAAAAATAAAAGTAATTTAACTTTGATTAGTTATATTAATTTTCTATTTATATCTAAATTATATTGGATAACTAAGAAATTCTATTATATACTAAATAAGGTAGTATCTATTAAATATGGTAAAAGTATAATATTTTCAAAAATTTTAATTTTATTAGTTTAAAGAATAAAAGTAATTTAATTTTGATTGATTATATTATACTACATTAGGTACATGTTAAATATGTTAAGAATATAATATGTTTTATTATTATTTTCATTAAATCTTCAATTTGATTGGTTATGATTATTTTACAAAGAATACATGTAATTTATTATTTTTATTAAGAAATATATTTTAAGATTTATTTTTTTATATAAAATAGAATAAATATATTACTATTATTTCATCCCCTAAATCTTCAAATTTTGATTGGGTTATGATTATTTTACAAAGAATACATGTAATTGTGATTTATTTTTATTAAGAAAATATTTTCAAGATTAATTTTTTTATATTAAATAGATATAAAAATATTACTAAAATATATATTAATCTATATATATTATATATACTAAATATAATATATATTATTAAATGAAACATTACACGAATTATAACACTTATATTTAGCAAATCATATTACATATTGAAATTATATTTTTCTCAAAAAGCAATCATATAAATTTAAAATTAATTTTATGCTAAACAGAGTTTAAGCAAAAAATTAAAAAATATATGATATTAGTTCAAAAATTTGATAATATACGAGTGCTCTACAAATACATGACTATATTATTATTAATATAAAATATAGTAGGTCGTAATCTATTATATATTGAATAAGTCTATAAAATTAATTGTGATACTTAAGGTTTGAAGTTAATTCCTCATTTTCAGGAAGATTTTGTTTTTTTTGTATGTTGTATTAGATTCAGTAATGAAATTTTTTTTTCTATTCTTATTATATGGGTTTCTTAGATTTTCTCTAATATAAATGTTCAGTAAGATTATAATTTGTAACAAAAAGAGTAATAGAAAGATGTGATAATATAAATTTTAAGTTCCACTATGACTTGCAACGAATAGAAATAAACGAATACAAAACTAACGTGCAATCACATTTATATTAGCAAATCATATTACATATTGAAATTATATTTTTCTCAAAGAGCAATCATAAAATTAAAATTAATTTTATGCTAACAGAGTTTAGCAAAAAATAAAAAATATATATATATCAAAATTATAAACGATGCTCTAAAATAATGATTAATATATTAATTATTATAATAGTTATCTATCTATTATATATTAATATCTATAAAATAATGTGATACTTAAGTTAAGCTAATCCTCATTTCAGAAATTTTGTTTTTTTTTATTTTATTAATTCATAAAATAATTTTTTTTCTACTTTATTAATGTTCTTAGATTTTTACTAATATAAATTGTTCATAATATTATAATTTGTAACAAAAAATTAATAGAAAATTATATATATAAATTAAGTTCCATTTACTTGCAACGAATAGAAATTAACGAATACAAATAACGTGCAATGCACATGAAAAAAAAAAAAAACTAGTAGTCAATAAATGAGCAAAAGATTGGCATTTACCTCTTTGAAAGAATGTGAAATCAGAAAATCCTTCAAGTGTCTCTCCTCTGATTCAAATAATACAACATGACTTGGCAAAGACAAGTTTTTCGCCAATTCTGATGTGAAACCAACAGGATCCATCATGAAACGGTCTGACTCATCTGGGTTTCCTTTCTCTTCACTAGAGGATGAGATACGAAGTTAAAATGAAAATTTCGAACAACAATATCCCAAGACAGCACAAAAAAGAAAAATATACAGCAAATGAATTGACAAAGTTCAAACCTTGGTGAGCAGTCTAGAAAACGCATTGGTATATTGTGATGGAGAGTGGAGTAGTAAGGCGTGGCATGGCAAGGCATTAGGAATAGTATACTTTTCACTCTTTCATTGTGGGCTTCTTTAGATAGATAGATCAGTACATCTTCGGTTCCCCTCTGTCATGATGCTTGAAAGTATCAACAAAATAGAAAACCATAAAGAAAGTGAACAAATATCATATTAACTTTTTCCCTCAGAGTTTTCCTTTCCACATCCCCTTCTGTCTACTCTTTCTTGTTGGTAAAATGGATGCTTTCTCCTATGTTAATTGCACAACAGTGCGCGGTATGCATTTAAAAGAAAATGAACTACTACGACCAATCCTAAAATTTCCTTAATTTTGAACTTTTAACATTATAGCAATGAGCCATATGAGATGTTCAATTAAATAGATTGTAGTTGGCTAGAGAAGAGGCAACCCACTTACCTGATGAACCAAACTCATGTACAAGGCCATTGGAATATTTGTACATAACAAGAAGATGACAGCAAATCCCACTTTCGACAGACATTTATTATGACTCTTTGAAGAACCTTTCCTATCACCATTAGGAGAATCAGGTCTTGCCATCACAGATAATGCATATCCAGAGAATATCAAAGCTACTGGCAGCACAGGCAACACAAACCTATAGTTCATTATATCATTAAGGATGAGGTAAATGTATAAACTTGAGCTGATCAGTCAAGGGAATAAATATCTCGTGTACAGGAAAAAAATGCCAGTAAAGTACCTGAATTCTTTGTGACCCAATATGCTGTAAACAATTAAAACCCATGCAATAAGACCAGAAAGTTTCCAACATTTAGACTTGATGCTGCCAGCTATTGCAAATGGTAAGAAAGTGAAGAGCATTGCAGAAAATCCCTGAGAGAAGTACCAGTGCCACTTGTGAGTTCCATAATAATCTCCTCCAGAAGAAAGAAAATTGAACTTCAGAAAATTAAGTGGTACTATGACCCATGAGCCATACATCACACGATCCAAAAAACATGAAACACCAAGCACCAAAGCCCTGATACAGTAAACCAACTATAAGATGAACAATATCATAAGGGCACACAAACAAACCAACTATAAGATAAACAAAACCATAAGCACACAAACTTGTAAGCGACAGTAAAACAATGAAGTCATATGAATGGTTCCGAGTAATTCTATAACAAGCAGAAAATGCATTTTAATGAAGTGCTAGCTGTAGATCTTATTCATATAGATTTGTTGTGCATTAAAAAGAATCACAATCTCAAAAGTCTACACATTGTCCATCAGATAAAACCAAAAGGAAAACAAAAGACAGCAACATGGTACCTACTTGCAACATTTGCCTACTAATTATGTAGTTAATGCTTATATAACATGAGTTTGATATGTTCAAGTGATGCGGACAGGGAGCTCAAGGAAATTAAAATTAAAAAATCAAGGAAATTAAATAAACAGTTTAGATATCACCAGCGACATATTTGGTACATTACTGATTATGAGAAGCTCAGTTAGTAAACTTAATTAGGCCAAATTAGTCTGCTTTGATATTCTTTAAGCAAAAATTTGCATAATTCTATCTTTTAATGAGGTAGGGGGCAACATTTCAATTTCCAGGTGCAATAGAAAGGCTGCTAGTCTGTCCTAAGTTGGCAAAATAGTCTTTGTTTTCCTTTTTGAGTATTAATGCAAGTCCTTATTGATTTAAAATAGCAATAGTTCTTCTAGTTTGGGACCCAAATAGCATTAATCAATATCTTCTATTCTAGCTGCATCTAGGTATGAAAGAGAAGTATGTCAACCACAAAAGATGATAGTGAGAACACAACCACAAAAGATGATAGTGAGAACACCAAGAAACTCAAAATTAGAACTTCCAAACTTCGAAGACACAGTAAACCTTACACTATGTTGTGATTGGCTTAAGAATCATGCTTTGGTGCGTAAATCTTAGCTTGATTCCACAGTATCAAATTTTGATTGGTGTAGACATTCACCTCAAATGAAGATTAAAGAATCAAGCAACTCAGAATTATACTATTTAAAATTTGGTTCATTTAGGATGTCATACATTATTTCAAGTCCTTTTGGTAGTCTCATTTGAAGTCTTCAACTGTGTTTTCCTGTTTTCTAACTTTGCTGGAAAAGCTGTATATTTTAGGAGCATTTATTTTCATTCCAAGTCCAAATTTGTTGCCAATGGCATTATTATTTAAAAGTTTTACTTCCTAGTCCCAGATCTGAAGGATCTAAGTATATAACATATTAATGCTTGCAATCTCCTTATTTATTAGTTTTCTTGTCAACAAAAATTTCTTGCAATCTTTGGGATTGTGTGATGCAATTCAATTCTAAGTTTGATGCAAAAAGGAACCTTGGGTTTGATGCCTACAAAAGTTTATGTGTGAAGCCTAAACTTTTGATTTACTGTTCAGTTCACAGGTGCTATTCACAGCTCCTTAACTACTTTGCAAAAAGCCCTATGATTCATTTCCGGCCAAAGTGGCAGCTTTATTTCTGTCATTTGCTGTCTATTCTTGGTAGCAATTCTATTTGTTTACATAAGCTTCTGCTCTTTCCCCACTCTCAAATAAACCAAAAATTAAGACAGAATATCAGTCCTGCAAGCTGTCCTACATCAATCAACCTTTTAAATGCTTCTCCCTTGTTATAGCATCTAAGATAACGTTCAGTCATAAATATACAGCCATCAGGACATAGAAATGCTAAATTGACAATTTGTATGCTTCAATGTCCCAGTAATTTTTGCACTCACTCAGTTTTATATATCTGATAATGGATGAACTGTACAATAAAATTAACTATATCATAAAATGATGATTCTGCACAAAGGCAGGGAAAAATTGACAAGAAACTAAAAGAAAATGAGAAATTAGGCATTTAACAAAAGAAAATAAATATAATTTGGAACAAGATGAGAAGTTGAAAGACACATGAACACTTACCCAATGGGAAACACCTCCAGAATAATGAATTTCAATCTATCACGTGTGACAAACAGCTCGAGAAGGCCAACATAGACCCAGATAACAGCACTAGTTGGTCGAATTGCACAAGCTAATGCTGCTATGATCAAACCCCTCTTCCTTGAAACCAATGGCACTTTATTAGGAGCTTCTCTCATACAGGGCCAGCAGTATAAACCCACAATTGTAAGAACAGTTTCCAAGCTATTGGACAATGTACGGTTGAAGCAATAAAACATGAACCAGTTTGTCAATTGAGAGAACAGCTAGAGTACAGTTAAGCAAATGATCTTTTGACAAACATTTTTTTAGTTGATACGAATGGAAGTGAAATACAGATCAACTATAATTTATTATGAAACACATGGCATAGCTGAAGGATACTGCCCAGTTTGCTACAGAATGATTGAAGAGAGCACATGAAAATTTGTACAAGTATAAATCACCAACTGCAGAGAACAGGGCTTGCAGCAGCCGTGGAGCCTTGGTCTACAAAGCATGAGAAAAAAAATACAAGTGCACATTTATACTGCACCTCTGAATAGTAACAAAAGAAACCACATCTATCCACATAGCGAAAACTGATTTCATTTTGTGAAGCAACGAAAGGAAAAAGAAGCTAGTCAATATCTGCTAAAGAGGGTGAATTAGTAAGCAATTGTTGTGATATTCCAAGTGACTCGTACTTGCACTCAATTTTTCAGAAAACTTCATAAAAAGTAACAAAAAGCTGGTAGGTATAGCTCTGGAACAGAAATCAAACAATAAATGTAAATGGTATGTGGCATGCATCATCACATATTTCAATTTGACATATCACACTCTATCACATTTCATCTATATCATATAACTAAAGGCTCAGATCACAGACATTATGTCTTTAACAGAAGCAAGTAGGCAGGACCTGAACCAAGAGCCTACCAGATCAAGGCACTACCCAGGGACACAATTATGAAAAGCATCTACCAGTTTGATTTCATTTTGGGTGGCTCTGATAAAAGCAGCTAAACCAGTGAGCGCAAAGACATTGGTGGTCTCAGGATCACATGAATTTATCCTGCCAAGTCCTTCCTTACCAAATGCTCCTTAACAATGTTATAAATGTGGCATAAACAAAGGAGTATAGAAACGACCACACATTTTTAAGCATGAAATTATTTTAACAAAATGTGAATTTGCTAGCCATGAATAAATTTAGAGACCTCGAGCATACAATTAATCTGAATGATTGAATTCATTGGAGAAATTGGAAAGAGTAAATATATGTATGAACTATAAAGTGCAGCAGCCAAGTTGAAAGAAAGTGATGAGGGAGAACTTCACAAGCAATCTTATGCCCAAAAATACCATCTCCAACTCTATTTTCACTCTGTGGTTTGTGTCAGTACCATACCAATTCACTTTTCAAGAATGTCCCCCATGTATCCATTTTCTTTTCCACTTTTTCTCCAACTCTATTTTCACTCTGTGGTTTGTGTCAGTACCATACCAATTCACTTTTCAAGAATGTCCCCCATGTATCCATTTTCTTTTCCACTTTTTCTCCAACTCTATTTTCACTCTGTGGTTTGTGTCAGTACCATACCAATTCACTTTTCAAGAATGTCCCCCATGTATCCATTTTCTTTTCCACTTTTTCTCCAACTCTATTTTCACTCTGTGGTTTGTGTCAGTACCATACCAATTCACTTTTCAAGAATGTCCCCCATGTATCCATTTTCTTTTCCACTTTTTCTCCAACTCTATTTTCACTCTGTGGTTTGTGTCAGTACCATACCAATTCACTTTTCAAGAATGTCCCCCATGTATCCATTTTCTTTTCCACTTTTTCTCCAACTCTATTTTCACTCTGTGGTTTGTGTTAATACTATACCAATTCAATTTTCAAGAATGTTTTTTTTTTTTTTCTATCATGAATAGATTTGAATCCATGGACCTAAAAGCCTTTTTTTCCCCTTTCCTGAATCTAAAAGGCAGTTTACAAGTATCAAAAGCCTTCTTTTTTTTATTTCCTACTGAATCTACTTCAGCAACAACGACAAAACAACATAAATCATAGAAATTGATAATTCTAACTATTGTTCATACACGAGAATAACTAAATATATCAATACATTAGAAAAGGACAACAATTAAATTTCAGCAAAATTTATTTTAATCACACAGAAAATTTACATAAAGTAAACCAACCAACAACTCACTTCATATTAAATATCATAAAAGAAAACCACAAGGGTTATTTTACCATGAACCATGGAGTATCAAGACCTAACAATGCAAGAACTTTGAACAGCAAAGCAAACACCAGTGGATGCAAATAACCGCGTATCCCCTTTTTCCACTCCCAAGTCAAGTGACCATACCTGCCATTTAAACACATCTTAATCACCACTTCTAAAGAACTTCCATTTCCAAAGCTTTTGGCTAAATCTTGATATTGTAGGAGGAATTAGGATGTTCGCATAATTGAACAGGTTTAAATTTGTACTGAAATGCCATGTTTGGCCTGCGTCTCAGAGGCTTTCAGGGAAGCATCTTTAAGTCTAACTGAGCTTGATTAGAAGAATAAAACAATTTAAAATATACTCACCAAAATACAATACGTTTCATGATAATGGAGAAAAATGTACTTTAAGGATCTAAAACCAAAGATTAAACTCAAAGTGCTCACCGGTTCAAAAAATTAATAACCTTAATTCTGCTACCAAAAAACAAGAAGATATCATCCAAATAGAAGACAGCTGAAAGATTTACCCGAATACAATGTGATGAGCAACTTCGAGGGCTTGCCAGTGCTCATCTGGATTAAAATACGTTTGTATCAGCAGAGAATTTGTCAATCGAAATGCGAGACAGAATGCAAAAATGTTCTTTGGAGACAAGAAGGTGTTAGATTTCTGAAATATGTTTTCATTGCTTAATCCTTCTCGTTTGGAGAGATTGGTACTCTGAGATTTGACTTCAGAGGACGGCGATTTAGCTGCACTTTGCCTCTGCCTCATTCTTCACACCACTGGCAACAGGAGAAATGAATATTCTCACATTAAACTCATAATCCAATAGGAGGCTGTCCCCGGAGGCCTTCAAGGTTTCTCTTTCTTCTAACCCAAGTAATCAAACAAGTCCCTCTGTCATCTTCCCTCCCAATCTCAAACCCATTAATTTCTCATTAATGGCACAACCAATTCGCTAGTAAATGCAAGGGTAGAGACTGTAGATTGGAAGTGAATTCAACAACAAAGAAAAGGCAAAGAGAAAACTCAAACCTTGAATCAAAGAAGAGATCCAAACTAGAAGAGTGGTTTAATGATGAACGTTTTGGAAAAAGTAGAATGTGGTTCAGATAAGCAAAAAAAGTCAGTGTCTAAGGTATATTACTTTGATAGATTCTTGAATTACCCAGCTGATACAAAGGGTATTTTACTTTTTATTTCATCAAAATTCGATAGAATCATAGAAAACCTGGATTCTGGGTTTGGAAGAACAGTTAATTGAGATATGGAAAAGAGAACAAAAGAAAACTAGTATATATATGGAGAAGAGGAGTTAGCGGGAGACGGAGAGACAGCGAGCAGAGAAATCAAAAAGGGTGAGGAGTTTGTGTCATCAGCTTGGGTTACTTTTTTTTTTTTTTTTTTTTTTTTTTTTTTGAAATCAAAAAGCGTGTGAGGAGTTGTTCACAGCTTGGGGTACTTTTTTTTTTTTTTTTTTTTTTTTTTTTGAGAGTTCAGCTTGGCTGTCACCAAAATATAACTACCAAAATTTTTTTTTTTTTTTTTTGAGATGTTCAGCTTGGGTCATCAAAAAATTTTTTTTTTTTTTTTTTTTTTGAGAGTTCAGCTTGGGTCACCAAAATATAACTCCCAAAATTTAAATTATATTGAAATTAGGACTTACACATTTCTATTCTGAGAAATAAATATAATATCTCTAACTTATATTTTATTTCAGTGTCCGACGATCAGTTCAAAAAAGTGTCTAATTACCAGTAAAGAGCTCATTTTTTGGACGAAATTACCTAACCATGCGTGAGCATTCTTTCAGTTAATTCAGTCAATTCGATTAATTCAACTTTTGGTGAATAAATTTTCGGTTAAAAAAATTTTAATTTCTAGTCATTATTTAAAAGTTAATGTAACCGGATTAATTAAATTAATTGACTCTCAAAATCACGTCGTTTTAATTAAGTAGATAACAAAATTTAAAAATATTTTAGCTTTTACTTTGATTATATAGTGATTAATAACTTCGATTAGTTTTCAGTTAAAGTCGATTAATCATAAATTTTGTTTAAATTCAGTTAGTTAATTAAGTTTTCATTTTTTTTAACTTTGGTTATGTTAATGATCAAAATTAATTTGCCCAAAACAATTCGATTAAGTTCAGTTAAAAAATTAATTCAATTAAATTTGATAAAGTCAAAAAATTTTGGTTAAAAATGCTAGTCAAACTGCTCGAATTGGCCGACTGCTCACCTCTAGTCGTAATAGTGAGACGGAAGTATAAATAAGAACGTCATAGTTATTTTTCAAATATGGACGAACTTAAGTGTTAATTCGAACATAATTTAGAGATTCGGTTATATTTTATCTTTACTATTAATCAAGCATAGTTGGGTCTCGTCATTAGTTGGGAATAATTTAACTAGAGGTATATACCCTCTCTTTATGGAGCAAACTAATAAAATAATATTTATTTTATTAGAGAATAAGATTTTTACCAATAAAAAAGGTTTTTTTTTCTTTAATTGATAACATTTTTGACTATTTATTGGAGAAAAAAATGAAACAATTTCTATCGTCCACACTAAACAAACTTAGTTTCAATAAAAAAAGTGAAAACGATTTCTATCGTCCACACTAAGACTGTAAGACAACTTAGTTTCTAATAAATATAGTGAAAATGATTTTTATCATGCACACAAGATATAACATTTAATTTAAGTTACCGGTAAGTAACTGCGAAATTTAAGCTATCCATATCAATATTCATTTAAAATTTTACTACTCGTATCTGTTTAAACTCATTCAGATATCTATTTAAGTACCCGTATCGAAATCCGTTTTAATTTTTATTATCTTTATTCGTTTAAAATACTTTTATATTGGTAGGATACCCGCGAATTTTAACTATCCAAATTCGAATATATTTAAAATATAATTTTTATTAGTAGTGGATAAAATACTCGTGGGTACTCAATAGCAGGTAGCGGATAGCGGGTATCCAAATATCTATATCCGTACTCTACCCGTATCTATTACAGATAGTAATTTCACTATTTGTATTCGCTCCAAATCTATTTATAACTATTCATGTTCTATTTAAACGAATCGGAGTGTTGCTCTACCCTAAAATATCCACCCTTTCCATCCCTACAGTGACCTAATAATAAATTCAGGTTTGTGAGGAGTGGAGTTGACAATTACCCTAATGTTTAATGTTTTTGAGTAACACCATAATAGTTACTGTGTGAAAAACTTCCTTTTGACTATATTATGTATTTAAAAAATCTATTAACCTAAGATATTTGTTCCTCTTAGATTCTCTGAAAAGCATCTTCAAATTTGAGTAGATACTTAAGAGATTTCAATTGAGAGAGGCTTGTAATAATCGTCAACTCCTTGCACCCTCCCAAATCAAATCAAAAGGAATGGATGAGGGAATGTCGATCAAATTTTCAGAATCTGAAAGGATAATTTCCTCTAGCTTTGGAGCTGAAGATAGACATGGAAAACCAAAAAAAAACAAAACCTTCGAGGACACTGCACATTAAATCAAGGTTTTCATCCAAATTGAAACTCTCAACAATGCTAAGAAATCTTTTGTTGCTTTGACAAGTGACAAATCTCTTGAAAACAAAACCGACTACCAATAGATACTCTTCTCAATCAAAAGCATCTTGTATGAATTAGTTATGCACAATGGTTGTGTTGTCATTTTCAGCTACTGTAATTCCTAGTCCTCCTTAATACTGGCAATGTCGACGAGGTATTGATTCAAATGCTGCCCAAAAATCTTTGTCGAAAATGACTCGGTAACATGCTGTCGTGCTTGTTCCCCCATTCTCTTTGCCATCTGAGGATCCTGAATGAGTTTAGCCATAGCCAGAGAGAAAGCTTTAGGAGTAGATTCGCAAAGAAATCCTGTTACTCCGTCCTTAACTGTTTCTGTAGGACCCCCACTGTTGCATGCAATAACAGGTTTATATGCTGCCATTGCCTCCAGCGGAACAATGCCAAAGTGTTCATCCTACAATTATTGTACAGTTTTATTTAGAAAAGAAGAAAATTTCATGCTTCAATATGATTATTATGATGAGACTAGTTATGGTATTGGACCTTTGGTGTATAAATGACACTCAAGCATTGAGAAAGAAGTTCATTTCTTTCAACCGTCGAGCAAGATGTGATGAAGCTAACCCGATCAGACACTCCTTCCCTTTCTGCTAAGCTTTTAAGTTCCTCCAAGTATTCAACGTTTTCTCTCAGTCGCTTATCATACCCACCTGAAATGAGAATTACAATATGTACAACTTCATGCTCAAGCTATACTGGAAGCACAATCCTATTAGTACTTAGAAAGGAGGTAGTCAAAGACTTGCCTGCAATAGTCAAAGTGGCCTCAGATACATTATCATTTTGAAGGGCATGTTCATCAAGGGTGTGAAGCATAGCAAATGCTGAAACTGCTAACTCTATGTTCTTTTTCCTTTCAAAACGGTTGATAGATAGAAAATTCGACCTATGCCACATTAAGGATAAAAACATAATGAAATAAATTCTTTGTATATCGTTTCAAAAGAAAGCCTAAAGCTATTCAAGATACATAAAAACACGTCAGTTACTTGTAAGAATGAGGTTGATCAAATTGGTCCACGTTGACAGCTGGGTAAAGAACCGCAGGCCGAATTCCTCGTGAATGAAGATGCTTGAATGTCTTTGCAAAAGTAGATGCAGTAAATTTACTGTTCACAAGTATCATATCAGCCATTCCTATGGACCCCAAAATCAATTTGATATTAATTTAGCAGTTGTTTGTAACGTATAACTTTATACAAGAACATATTTCACATGAAGAGTACATAAACAGAGGTGAAAGAAACATACCAGTAGTAATTTCTTCTACAAAGTCAATGGGTTTTCTATATAATCTTCGGAGAGTGGTTGTGTGTTGAGCTAGTAACAGATCCGGAAAATGACAATAAAATACCACCTGAATCAATTAGACTTATAATATGAAACCCTGCTACAGCCACAACCTTAAACAACAGATGAAGTAAAAGATATATATCTACCTTAGTTGATTTTTTAAGTTTCAACAGCGGGATGACAACAGAAACCTGATCTGCCAGTATGACATCAAATGATGGCCACAAGAACACCATGCAAAGAGCAACAAAAATACACCGCAGGTAAGCACATAGTGCGTGTAGGTGGTAAAATATATGTCGAGGTAGAAAAGAACCATATACAGTCACTGGAAAGGTACCTGCACAGAAATTGATATTAATAAGCATATCATATGATTTCAACCTAATACAAGACGCAAGTGGTAGTAAGAGATAAGCACAGAGGCATAAACAATTCCCTTCTTGCAAAGTCACCAAAGAACGGCAGCATTTGGTTCAAGATGTATGTTAAATACTTTCACCACCCCACTTCCTCAGCTCCAAGAAATAGATAAAGCGAGAGAGAAAAAAAAAATAGCCCTTTTTTTTTCATCTCCTTGCAGTTCACTTTCTCACTTTTCAGCCGGGAAAATTCCTTAATTTCTTTGCAACTTAAAATGAAATTTGGTGATAATTCTCGGTTTATTTTATATATTGAATTGAGTGCACAATACTAATTCCTAAAAATAATACAAATATATATCAAGCAAATTCCAGTGCACTAATATTTGGTTGATAAAGCTTTTCATTGCTTCGGTTTAAAATCCATTAAAGAAACCGTAAGTTAAAGTAATTTTTTTAAAAAAAAGTTTGCCATAAATATACTATAGATGTAATTAGCCAACTTAAAGGCCTTCTCAAATAAACTGGAATATCGTCTTCTGATTCTTACAATACATAAATTTTGAAATCAGAATAAACTAAGACTTATCAAGCAATAATAAAATAAAGTTACCTACCAGCAACTGTTTCCTCAAAGCATCTGTTTTTATCATGGTGAGCTGTAAAAACATGAACATTGTGGCCCCTGGAGGCAAGTTCAACAGCCGCATCAACAATTAATCTTTCAGCTCCACCTATAGATCATTGCAATGTGCTAGTAAGATATACTTGAGATATTTCATCTCAATACCATCATGCTTCACGCATAAGGAAAGTTTCATTCAAGAGTGTAGGTTGCAACAAAGATTCAAATTTAAATGCTTGATTGCACAGCAAAAAAATCTATCTTGTTAGAAACAAAGTAGAAAGCAAAGTCAGAGTAAACATCTACATGAAATAAAACTACGTGCAATCTTCAAGACACTATTATTATCCAATTCTAAAGCCACCATCACCCAACCCCACTATGTTCATGGAAGCAAAACCAAAACCAATATAAATTGATTTCTTTCCACCAAAAAAGCACTAAACTCATTTCTTTTAGGAAAAAATAATAGCCCTGCTTCCAAATTACAACTTTCATCTGACATGAACATTTCAAATTATACAATTATTTCAAAAGAGAGACACCAAAATATGTGTTAAATCAAATAATCTCACAGCATAAACATAAATGATAAGTTCACTTCTCCAATTAAAATTTGAGACTAACAAAATGATTGTTCATATCACCTTTTATCATATAACATACATAATAAGAAGAAGAGAAAGTAAATGATAGAATTACCTATACCAAGGTCTGGGTGTATAATTGCAATATTCAATTTTGATCTCCTTTTTCTCTCCATCTCCATTTTGCTTTTGTGGATTACAATATTTCCTTTTTTAAGCAATATGTAGATTAGGTTTTACGGCGTCTGCAAGGCTGACCTAACATTCGCTGTTAAGAACCCAAACAAGAACAAAATTAGTTACCGCACTCATTTAGGGGATCTGAAAGAAACCCAAATTCAAAAGATAAAGAAAGTCAACAAATAGGAAAATTTTCGAAACACAGAGACTACATAGAGGTTTCATTTTCTTTAAGAGTTAAACTTACTATTTCATTTTACTCATTCATATATGTATTTACCTTTTGTTTACTTTTTGTTCCTTTTCTTTTCTTTTATTCTAATTCATTTTCAATTTAGAAAGAAAGGGAAAACAGGATATTGTGGTGTATTTCTTTCTTTAAAAGGTAAATTTATTAGATTTAGTTTATTTAATTCTCATTACCTATTTTATTTCTTTTTAACTAAAAAAAATCATTAAATTTTTTAAAATTCTTTTAGAAAATTTAATTATTTTAGTTGGTCTATTTTGAGTTGCTTTCATTCATTTTCTATTCAAGAAAAAAAAATTTTTGCTCAATTAATTAAATTCATCAATTTTTATTCGCTTATTTCATTTCCAATTTCACGAGAAAATATTTTATTTAGGTAAATTTATTTAGTTCCATTCACTAATTTTTCTTTTGTTTCTTTAGGTTATCTTCAAATTAAATATAAACAAAACAGCAAAATTTAATTATTTTAATTCATCAATTTTAGTTGCTTTCATTTTGTATTTGAAAAGATATTTTTGCTTAATTAATTATATTCACCTATTTTTATTTGCTTATTTCATTTTTAATTTTGCGAGAAAATGTTTTTGTTAACTTTATTTTGGTAAATTTATTTAGTTGAATTCACTAATTTTCCTTTTGTTCGTTTAGGTTGTCTTCAAATTAAATATAAACATAACATTAAAATTTTGTGGGCCATAATCAGATTGAGTGGAAGGACTCTTTCTCTGGAATCCCTTTCCATGAACTCTAAAAGAAAGAACCACAGCTGCCATTTATTTGGCGCTTCATCATTTTTCTCACTCTATCGCCAGTATTATCAAGCTCCAAGAGCCAAAATTCAACTATTTGTCAATGTCTTCAGTAGCTAACAGAAAACACATTCCAATTTACTGCAACAGAGGTTCCAGATTGATGAGTGTTCTTTGTCTTAAAGCTTCGATTTCAAAGTGATGTTCACCCTTTTATTTTCTTTGATTTTTTAAGATTTTTGATTTCATTCAATTTAAAAACACACATTAGATTCAGAGCTATTTGGTCTCAAGAAGAAATCCAATAGTATCTAACACTCACTTTTTAAGAACCTAAACAAGAATAAAATTTGCCACCCCTCTGACTTGGAGGATGTAGGGGAAGCCCAAAATAGAAGGATAAAACATGTTAACAGACAGAAACAATTCAAATATAGAGTGAGGCTATGAAGGGTTACTCAGTAGCATTTTCCATATCTTTTACAAAGATAAGAGAATAAAAACGGAGAAATGCATGTGACTGTAGGAAGGAAACAAACATAAAAGAGACTTCAATCTTGCTTAGCTGAAACCTATAGAAACAAATATTATGGTTTATACCAGCCAAAACTGTGCCCATTTGTAAACAGCAGAGGGCTGCAAATAAACACAGCTTATACTTAGGAAAAAGCATCCGCATTTTCAAAGTCTGGGCTGAAAATAAATTAAACTATTCATGAACAATTTTGAGACTTGATCTAGTATAGGCTTGTTTAAGCTCATTGATAAGCATGTTGAGTTTTACCTGCTTTGGACTCAACTTGAGCCCCACAAACAGCCCACTTAAGTTTTGCTACACCTCATCAACCAGCTCATTGCAGCTTTGATGGAAAAAAAAATTGTAAATGCTATATTTGAGGAGTTCAGAAATTAAGTACCTCGAAACATTTAAAGGTCTTTTGATTTTCTGAGATCTAAATAAAAATAACTTGTTCTGAAATCTTGGCTAAAAAAAAAAGTTTATTTGTTAATGTTTGATTAATAAAACAGCCAAGCATAAGCCAAACGAGGCTATGCTCAGATGGGCTAGTTTATTTAATGCGCTGGGCTAAATCTGGTAAAAGTTGATTGTGTTCCCATCAAAAAGCACACATGCATGAAACATATACATCTAAAGATAAACCAGCCTTATAGTACAGCAAATATTATGGGTTATGTTCAATGAAATATACCAAATTGAAACTACATTTTTAGCTGGAAAGGAAGGCTTCCATAAAAGCAATGCAAAGAGATTTCTACTAGGAATTTGTAAAGACAACAATAGAAGAAACCCCAGAAAATCTGTTGACATAAAATCTTTAAAATAATTCATCCAAAAGGTACTTTTATTTCTGCTAATAAGTTTTGAAAGTTCTAATATTTAATCTTGGCAGATTTTTATATGAAATCCTTAAAACTAGAAATCAGAATTGTCCCACATAGGTGAAAATGAATACATAACTACTTCAATATGATAGAAAAATCAACAAATGATTCTAAAAAATTAATAAAAAATTACTTTATAATTTATATTAACTCTCATGCTTGCTCTTTTATAATGGGATCATAGCATATTACCAAGACATTTTTCTTTTTCCATTTTTGCTTAAATTTTCATTCAATGATGAAATTAAGATTGCCTATGGAAAGTTAAAATTCAGGTCAAACAACGAAAATGCAAGAAATGACTCCAAAGATATAGAAGTAGAAACAAGCACAACTAATCAATCAGTTTTTGACGATTTCACAATCTCATTTACTATGGGTTCATGAAACAGCAGCAGAGATATAGAGAGACACATTTTCCTAGAAATGATGAAAAGAAAACTTTCTTGAAATGGAAAAGAAATATATAATTAATTAAACAGTAAAACCCAAAACAAATCAACAGAGAATTTGCATATAAAGATTGAATTGTAGCGCAGGGTTTAACGATTTGAGTTGGTTTTTACCTGAAGAGATAAGGTTGATGCAGATCAGAAGAATTTTGGTGGTCAGACTGGTGACTTCTTACTAATTTAAATCTCCCTTATCATTGTAAGCAGGTTTTTTTAGTTTTGTATACTGCTAGTACTGTGTTTTCTAATGAAATCAAATCTTATTCATATCTATGAAAGTAAATCCTATTCATATCTATCAATAAAATACATGTGCTGATAAGAAAATAAATAAATGGCTCACTCAACCTTAAAAGTTGGTAAACTCAACATGTTTATCAAATAAGCTTAATCAATCCTTTAATAAATCAAGTCTCCAAGTTCTTTTCTTTTTTTTTTTTTTTCCTTTTCTTTTTCCTTTTCTTAGGGAATCAGAAACCCTTAATCAACCATTTTTACTTCTTCAAGGAAAACGATCTTGTGATGTCATGGAAACAACAGAAGTAAAATTCCTTTCTGACGCAAGCCAGCTTGGAAAACTTGAAGTTTTAGGATCAGGGCTAGGATTTATAGAAATCAGGAATTAAGTCTTAAAAACTAATATGGAAAATTTGAATTTCTTTAAAAAATAAACGAAAAAGTTGAAGCAAATGAAAATAAACTGCTAGCATCACGCTATAACAGTAATGGGATCTAGTACTCACTCAGGGTTAAAATTACATGACACAACTCAAAGATAAAAACATTATCTGCTGTAATATCAACTGAAAACTTAATTAAAAAGCATTACGATCTTATAGACCCAAACTGCTATTAATGTCTACTTCACAGGACACTACTGATAAAACTTTACCTAATGTGACTTTGATATTAGTCTTCACCCTTCAAGGATTTTAAGAACCAAAATAAACTAAAAAGGATTACCATTATCCTAGACCAATAAGAACTCTAAAATGACTTCAAATCAGTATAAATTCTTCCTAAATAAAAAAGGACACAATTCCAACCAAGCTGAAATTTACAGAATTGCCTCTACGATTTAGTTCTTGACTAGCAACTTTTTTATTAAAATTGACACGTAAATATAACTCTAAAAGGACTAGAAATGATCTACAATATGCAAAACAAATTCTAGATAAAATCTCGAATAGAACTCTAAAATTCTTGAGCATTTGAAGTTGAATTTGAATTTTCTTGGCTTACTGGTCCACATCACTTTCTCATCAACCAATCAGTCTCTTCAACCAGTTTGATATTAATCAATTGAAGTATACATTTGTGTATATAAGTGTTATTAAGAATGATCTAAGTTAATAATTTTAACATTGATTTTGAAAAGAAATGTCATATCTGTTCGATAAAAGTTCTAAATAACTATCGTTGGGGTTTACGGTATATGATTGAAATCCCGTTTAAGTTTGTTTCCTTACCTACAGTCAAATGCATTTCTATGTTTGTATTCTAATAATGCTAACAGATCAATTTAAGAACAAAACTTTAAGACAAAGAACACTCACCGATTTGGAACCCTTTTTTCCGCAGTAAATTGGGATTTGATTTCTGATAGCTCCTGAAGACGATGATAGTCAATTGAATCCGCTCTTGGAGCTCGATAATAACAGCTGTTGGGTTCGTACAGAGATGTCTTGGGAGGACGAGTCCTCCTAAGTTCTAATCAATCTACTACTAGAAAATAAAAATATAAAAAAAAAAAGGAAAAAAAAGAACTTTCATTATTATTTGTTTATATTGAATTTTGAAGATAAACTAAGGTATAATTATTATTATGTTCCTGTATAATGTCATAATTTATTAATCAGTCCTTATATAATGTCATAATTTATTAATCGATCCTTTTTTTTTTTTATTATATTAAAACATTCTTATATATGGGCTCGTGATACTACTTGGTCTTTTATAATAAAAAAAAAAAAAAAAAAAAGTGCGTGAGTTGGTCTTTTATAATAAAAAAAAAAAAAAAAACCATCAGGTCCAAAAAATTATCGGTATTAGGAGAGAGAATAAAATTTTAAAATACCAAAAATACCCCTTAGCCCTTTTAACAATTTATTGCAACAAAATTCTTATAAATAAATAAAAAAAAATCTGGCAAACCACAAACGAGATCTGATAAGTGATTAACACAACAAATCTCCAAACGATTTTCTATCGACAATAAAAATAAAATTACAAGATTTTGTTTCTCCATTTACATCCTCTTTTTCCAGGAAAAACGTTCACAAACACAAAGTAACCAGAAGGCTCACACTCAAACCAAGCAAAAGTTAATCAATCAATAAAAATAATCAAAGTTCAACATGACTTTACTGTTTGAAATTAAAAAGCTTACAAAGTTAATCGAAGACAAAGCTTAGAAAACACAAATAATCAGGAGCTTTTCATAATCAAACAAGCAAAAGTTTAAGTCAATCAATAAAATAAAAGCAAAAGTTAATCAATCAATAAAATAAATCAAAGTTCAAATGACTTACTGTTTGAAATTAAAAGCTTACAAAGTTAATCGAAGAAAAGCTTAGAAACACAATAATCAGGAGCTCATAATCAAACCAAGCAAAAGTTAATCAATCAATAAAATAAAGTTCAAATGCACTTACAATTTCTCTAATTACTGTTTGAAATTAAAGTCCTTTTTTTTTTTTTTGTCCAAAACTTCACATATAGAACTTGCTGAGAAACTTGGGAAAGAGAGATAATCGAGATTAAGACATCACTCAGGGTGTGATTCCAATCTCTGGCAATTTCACGCTGTTTCCGGCGGTTCCAGTGTTGATAGCGGGCATCAATTGGTCTCTTTCATCCTTACGAGCAATTACCCTCTGGAAATTACGAGGTTCAGGCCAAATTTGTGAAACCACCATGAATGACGGTTCTAGGTTCCTGTTACGCCCGTTTCAACCAACTAGAGGGCCGATCTCGCCCAACCAACACCAAAAATAAACTCCTCGATAAATTCGAGCCAAATGATGTGAAGGACGCTTAATTCTGGACAGCTACGACTTTTCGTCCACTGTAGACGGCAGCGTCAGCAGCAGTCTGGCGACTAGGCAGTGAGAATCCAGTAGGCAAAAAATTGAGAATTTGCACTGAACTTGAATCTGAAATTCGATTTTTAATCAGTATAATTTAAGATTTAGTTTATTAAATTTAATGTAAATTTCAATTTTAGAAATTATTATTACTGGGTTAAAATTAGTTTTCATTAAAAGAATTAAGAATTAAGAATTAAGAATAGGATAAGGGTTCTAATAAATTGAAGCAAGTTATAATTATCGCCATAAAAATAAATTGAGAACCTTGATAAATATGAATTTGTAGTATGAATTTTAAATAAATTAAATACTTAGTCATAAGAAATATTATTATTAAAAAGGAAAGTAATTAGAAGTATGATTAAATTACATTGGTTCCTTAATTTAATTTGAACCAAGGACTATCAGGATTATAACCAATGAGAAAATAAATTAGAATTATGTTATGTGAGCTAGGATGATGGTAAATTAGATTATTTAGAGGACATTACAATCTAGTGAAAGTGCTAATTTTACTAACTAATCCCAGATTTCATTAAAGGATATTATATTTCGATTAAAGTTAATCAAATAAGGAATTTTTTATATTTATATATATAAAGGATTTATTGTTTGATGACCGGTTAAGGAAATAAATCATATTAAGATGAAGTAGAAATATTTGAGGATGTATTGAAATTAGATTGAAGATTATTTTAATCTATAAGGTATGAATTGATTGTAAAATTACTGTTTATGGCGGTTGGATATTGGGATTATTGATTACCTGAAGGATGGGCTATATGAGTAGTAATCGATAAGTAAACTAAATAGTTGATACTTGAACAGGTTGAAAGTCCTATTTTAGATGGAAATGCTGTCAAAAAAATATCGATAAGATTTAGATTAATCATGTAATTTCTTATTTAAGAAAAGTAATCTATTTAATGCAGTTTTTTTTTTTTTTATATTTGTGTTTTATCTAGATCGTCCGAGTTTGTCTATCGCTCCTACTAGTCAAAATCTAAACGAAGGCTTACTCCTTCTTTTATCACTGTGAGTAACAATAAATGATGCATATCATCATTTGCATACATGAATCAACCATTCCACATATATATATATATACACAAATGATACTTAGCCTTACCCCTTTTAATACTATATTATAAAAAATAATATTTTTTTTCTTATGATCTATCATATAAATTATAATATTATAAGTATATAAGAATTATATATATTTATATACATTTCATAATTATACTCATATGTGCTTATTGATCTCATATGTAATTTATTATATAATAATGAGTTGATTGGATTACTTGTGATGTGATAATGACATGCCTTGTTTTCGGGTGGAATTGGAATAAAGTGGGTCACCATGGAATTGTGATGACAGTCTGGGACCATTGGCCATGTATGGGAGATCGACTTCCCCTGTACATATGATGAAATATAATATGAATAATATGGCAAAACCACATGGTGGTCTCCTATTAGTAATAGAAAAGAAAGAGAGAATGAAAAAATAATGTGAAGACTGGTCAAGTGAAAAATAGACCAGTTGACCAGGTATGAGGATCGGCTCTCTGGTACATACGTATGAGAGGACATGCTATGTGTGATGATAGCTTGTTAGGGTTTTGTGATGCCATTGACCAATCTCTATTTAATGTGATTATTTGAAGATGATATTATTTATGAGTATTGATTTAGTGGCATGCACTTGATCGAAGGTGTGCTCATTATATAAATGTGAAAAGCATTCTGTGTGATTATTTGGGCTATGCATTATTTATTGTTATTCATTAAGATTGTGAAACTCACCCTCCTACGCTTAAACTTTTTCCCAGTAGGTAGACACTGTGCTGGTTCAGATAAGCTCTGCTCCTTTCTCTGCAGAATTATAATAGAAAATTCTAATTTTAACAATATTTGAATATACAGTATTATGTTTTAAATGTATCTTCATCTGTTTATAGAGCTCCGTAGATAGGGAGTTATGTATTACAATTTATTATGTAAAAAGTTATTAGTGTGCTGTTTGATAGACATGTGGAATTTTCTAATTGACTCTCTAGAGTACAAATGGACCAGTTTGCCCATATTATGAATGACGTTAATGGTATAAAAGAAAAGTTATAGGCTCGAGCTATAAATTAATTGAAATGTGGAAGCTTGACCAAAGATATAAATTAACAATATGATTTAATAACGTCATATTATGGGTTTATTGTTCCTAAAATTGGTTTAACAAACTAAATTCATATGAGTTAAGCATATTACGCGTCTTGGGGGCCTTAAGTTTACCTAGGTACTAGTGCCGGTCCGGCCATGGTTTTAGGTGTTGGCATATGCTTTTTGCCACTGATTTTTAATAAATAAAAAAAAACCAAATTTTGCCTTACCATATATATTTCTTTCGTTCTTCTTTATGTTAAAAGTAAAAATTAATTTTTTAATAATATTGAATAATTATTATAATAGTCATCCATACCCAATTTATTCGGAACATGAATTACTTTTATCAATTTACACATATATTTTTGACTTTTCATTGAAAATTAACAAAAAAAAAAAAAAAAAGGGGTAACATTTGGAAGGACGTTGGTTGGACAATTTTAAACCATAAGCACAAATTCATATACCCTAATGCAATCGCTAAGTAGTCGATTTTATTAAACTATAATGACTAAATAGTAATTAGTAAGTCTCCCACAATTTTACCAAAACAAAATTACATAAATTTTTTTTTTTTCAAGAATGAAAACGAAATAAGCAAATGAAAATTAATTACAGGTCAGTTAAATTAATCAAACTTTTTGAAAGAAAATAAGAGATGTTTTGCAATTAGAAAATGAATTAAAACAAATTAAAATATATGATTAAAAATAATTAAAATTTCTTAAAAGATATAAGAATAGTTTTTATTTGAAATAAATGGAAAAGTAAACGAAAATGCATAAAATAAATCTAATAAATTTACCTTTAAAAACAAGAAATGCATAAAAAATATTTTCCTTTTTTTTCTAAATTAGTGATGTTTTTATTCTGATTTAGAAGTGATTTCATAATTTGTTGCTATTAGATATTGATAAATATTTTCAAATATTAAAATTGACGTGAAAAAAAAAAAAAAAAAAGATATTGATAAATATTTTCAAATATTAAAATTGACGGAAAAAAAAAAAAAAAAAAGAGTGAAAAAAAAAAAAAAAAAGAGTTCAAGGGATTTTTTTTTTTGAAGACAAAGGAATTTATGTTATTTTAGCTAAGATTGCTATTTAATTAATCGAGGGCAAATGTAACTTTTACAACCACACGTTATGCGTCTGCCTTCCCTTTTTAACTCCGTCACTCTATTTACACCTGCCATTTTCTCTCATTTTCCTTTCATTTTCTCATATTTTCTAATTACCAAATCACTGTCCATTATAATACTACTAGTGGAAAACTGTGCGCGTAGGTATTTAAATATTATTTTAATAAATATAGTTAATTATATTTTTTTTTTTGATAAACTATCATGAATTATCAAATGTTGAGAAAGAACAATAAAATTATACTTGAAATAAATCAATAATGGTAAATATAAAAATGGTTTGTTAATAAATAAAATTATAACATTATTTGCAATAATATCAATATTTTTAAATATATTCTTAG